GTAATCCTCCAAATGAGTATCTTCTTTTAGCCAAATAATTTCATGTCATGCTCCTTTTAATCCCCTAACCTGGATTTTAGTAGGATCTATTGTTCTTCATCATCACGAGCATCATCCCACAGTTTCTTCCAACTATACCAACACTGAAGTTAAGCAAGTGACCATTCTCTTTGCCAAAAGCTCAGACCTAATTTCTATTCTGCTCAAAAAGAATATTTAGCATTCGAGAAACAGATTCCAAGTCTTCAAAATAAATGTCATCTGCTCACACTGTCACTGTTTCAAACAGAAGAAGCTCTACCAGTGTTGAGTTTCTGTTTATTAACAACAGCATTCACCTTTGCAGATGTTTCAATAAAAACCTGTGATGCTTTCTTATAGTCAAATGATCTGTTTTTTCAAATTAAATCTCTCTCTTGCTTTTGCTACACCTTCCTAACAACCACTTCTGGCTCCTTTACAGTCTATTATGTACAGTAGTGCTAGCAGTTCTTGTAGCATTTTGAAACAAAACTAGTACTGGTATGTTTCTGCCATTCCAAATTCTCCTCTGTTGTGTCCACTTCCCATCTCAGAAACTTTTTTCAAGTGACTGAGTCTGTTGTGCTTGCAAACTAAAAGACTGAGTAATTTCTAGTTGTTTCTATGGCCTTGAGTATTCTGACAAAGTATTAAATAAGCTAACTTGCTTAATTTCCAGTTCTAATTACTAACCAATGCAAAGAGTATCAGCCAGTCTGCTGCTAAAACCAGGATGAAAATTAAAACAGGTATACTAGTTGCAATAATAAAGTTGCTAAAGTTAAACAACTAAACAGAGTCCATTTTTTCTTATTTAATAAATAATATAAAAGAGTGAACCATTTGGGTTTTTCTGTTTGTTTGGGTTTTGGGTTGGCTGTTTTTTTTTTTACATTATTGGAAAAAACAGTTACTTATCTAACTCCAGCAACAATACAAGCAAACAATGAAACCAGTTTGGATTTTTGGGTGGATATTCCATATGGCGTACAAGTGGAGTCCAGTGTGCACAGCCTCACAACTACTGATGACTTTCTCAGCTCCTGGAGTTGATCTTCTTTTGTGTTGTTCTGGTTCCACAGATGACCTCACTGTTCATTCACAAAAGAAAATAAAAATAATTTCATATTCCTTGCTTAACATTTAAAAGAATCCACAAAACATGGCAAGTTGCAACACTTGATCACACCATAACTGGTTTTATCATACCATCATACAGATGTTAGTTTGTCACATCAACAGTAACATGGCATTTTATTTTTAGCCTTGTAGAAAAAAATGAAACCAAATAGTATATGCACATACACACACAGAGTAGACTTGACAAAAACACTTTTATGTGGTTTACATTTCACTTTTATTTAATCCTCAAAACTGCCCATATTGCAGGGTTTTTCTTGATGAAATATGGAACTGAGCAATTAATTCTACAAAATTATGGTAAAAACTTGCTCATATTTTCTACCTTATTGCTAAGAAACTTTACAGGTGCACAGTTTGTAAAAATAACCCTTTTAAGACTGAATGTATACACATGCTACAGAATTTAAAAAAAAAAATGCCATTAGCATAGCACCTCCAGATAGGGCAAATGCAGTGCTGAACACAGAACATTTACGAAGTTAGAATTGCTCATTCATTTTACAGCTTCTAATGGGAAGAAATTGTTCAGTCCTAAAAGGGTTAAGTAGAAACCCTAATATACTTCTTTTTCTAACAAAGCTGCCACTCAATCCCACAGTACAGTGCTTGAAAACAAAGTCAAAAGTCTGGCACAGGAAAGTATACACATTTGTTCAGTATTCATAAACACAGCTGCTTTTGAAAGAAAGTAAATAATATGGTTAATAATTGAAGAGTGTCATAGTTCCAAGATGGACACCTCTATGGAGTCATTTAATCTGCAAGTGGGTAGCTTACTTCCAGTGGATAATTTGTTTCACTTGGCATTCATATTTTGCATGTGGGGAATTCACTGATTTATGTCTTCAGTTCATGTCTTTTCAGGTAACCCTTCTGATCTTACAAGTCTGTGCAATGAAAAGTAGTACAGAACACCATTATTAACACAGTTGTGGGATGCCCTCAGGACAAATGGTTAGGAAGAACAGCAGCAGCAGATTATTAAAGACTACACTACCGTTGACTTCTGAAATGCAGTTCCAAACAAAAGAAAACAAGACTAGGCATAGCTATATTTGAGCACTCAATTTGGTTTTTCTTATAGTTGGAACTATAACAACATTCTGAACACAGACTCAATTTGTATATAGAATTAACAGCAGACTTAACAGCTAGACTTGAACAGTTATAGTAGTTTCATACTGAAACATCTAAAAATAGCTTCATCAAAAACTTGAGATATTGTTAGTATAATGAAAATTGATTAACAGCTCACAAGGCCAATAAACGTAACAAAATCACCCCACAGGTAAAAATTCAGGAAGGTAATATATCTGAACAACTGGACATCTTTACAACAGCAAGGACCTGGAAGACCATTTCTGTACTACAAAATAACTACTAGCAACAATGGAGCCACAAGCCCAAGGGAAAAATCAGGTTTAAAATGGTCTTGTAAGCAGAACTTAATAGTCTCTTTTTTTCCACCCACTTGGTTGTAGTGTGTAGTACAGTAGAAATTAGGGTAAGTCATTAGGTTCTTTACAAAGTCAAGGAATATTATAACTATTGGGCAAAATTATTGCAAGTAAAGAAACGGAATATAAAAAGTATTGCATTTATATGTAAAAAAAAATTAAAATAATCAGTATAAAATCAGGCATCAAGTTATGAAAAGATATTTTAAATAGTCCTTGTAGGTTAAAAGGCTCGTTATGGTTTGCCTCATGTGTGTCTATCACAGTTTGTTCTTGAATGAGCTCTAACTCTGATACATGTATCTTGCTTTTTTCTTAGTCTAATTAGTGATGAAAACCTGTGGCTCTTGAATGAAGCCATACTGCAAGATACTTACGTGCTTCTAACAAAAACACTGTGAAATGATTCCTGCCACAACACAATTCAAATGAAATTTTATAGCACATACAAAGGTAAACAGATTTGCAAGTAAATGCCAGTAAACAGATTAAAACAGATAAGGCCACAATGAATTCTGCCCTTGGTCACTGAAGCAGAGCTGAGGCAGTATTCACTAGTGCTAAGAACCAGCGTTGTGACTATGCCACGGGAACGTGTTTTGTAATACAGAACAGCAAATATGAAGGCCTGTGGTAGAATACAAGCACATTTTAAAAGGACAGTGGCACTGATTTTACTATTAGCTAAGTATGTTCTATAACCAATCTCTTCCTTTAACCACAGTTTTCACACATACAATTGAGCACTAAAGCAAACAAGTAGAATGGAGCATCAGAGTACACATTAATGATGCAGAGACAAAGCTTTAAAATGGTGGTGGGTGTTGAAACTGGAATAAGTGGTCAGAAATAAAAACCCTATGAAAATAGTCAACAGATAAGCTTCTAAGCAATGCACTGTAGGAAGCCACAGATTGACACATAGTTGTGTACAGTTGTGGTTTTTGCTTCAGGGTATAGAAAAGGCTGAACACACCACAAAATTTGTATTTTGGCTTTTAAAGAGGGAGATCGCACTATTGAACTTGTCCTGTAAGTCTATGCCTAGTTCTGTGACTACAAATGAACTACCAGGGTATACTCTCAAAGACAAATATAGGCAGGTCTACAAGGAGGGACAAAACATGGCAAAGTCAAAATGAAAAACAAATGCAACAACCAACAAAGTCGAAGTGCAAATGAGCCTTGAATTTATGATGGAGAGAAGACTAGAATGTTGCACAAGCTGTTGGCAGGGAAAGACAAACCCACAGGAAATAAGGATGGGACAAGTTGACATCTTCATAGTGCTTTTATGATTTTCTATTTGCCCATTTCTAAGTAATAAAATTTACTTCTAGTTATTAGGGTATGATCACTTCACAATGAAAGCACGTTCTCAATACAAGTGTTACACCAAAGTCTGGCCTAGTTCACTGAACAGTATGAAGAAAAACATGCTGCTTGTGATTCTCAAGCGATGAAGGGCATCACCTACCAATCCCATTTGTAGCACATACTTCTCATGGTATTTTAGTTACATGCCAACAAGACAGAAGACATGCTGCCAAATGAAGTTATTTGGAACATTCCACTTTTGAAATAAAACATTTAACTTACACTTAATACAAATTATGTACAAGATTAGAAAAACCTGAAAAGATCCTGAAACATTTTCAGATGCAATATGACTGAGCAAGGAAGAGGGAGGATAACCCAGTAACAACCCTTCAAAAACACCAATGTATGCCTGTGACACGAACAATCAGTAATATGACTGCTTGAGATGCCACTTAAAAAAACCTCATGTAATGTTAGAACGTCATGAATTATCACTATAAATACATATTTAAAAAAGGAAAACAGAAATAACTATTAACAATGAATGAAAACAGAGCACTAAAGTTAACATACATTGCATGTATTGCAGGCAAGGCAGAGGCATTTTTTAAAGCTTTTGCACAGACTTCATATAATCTTAAAAAAAATATGCTGGCCTTTACAAGGTTCTACTTGCTGAAATAAAAACAATTTCAGTTCATAAAAAGTCACAAGACTTCAGTTTAAAAAAAGGAACAGTTCCAGCCACAGACCAAAAATATATATATTTTTTTTTAAACTGGAAGAGTATGGTAATTAGATTATACAAGCATGGTCAGGCTTGGAACCTGAATATACTTCAGAGCAAAAGCTCAGAGGAAAAAAAAATATAAACTATTTGGTAACAAAAGTGTACTATATGTTGTGATACAAAAAAGGTATGGTGAAAATGTACCTTTTATACTAAAGCTTATACAAGTTCCTTGGTCCATAAAAACTACGTTGTGTTCATGTTTTCTAGTTTGCTCAACATGTATCCCAGCCACAATTTTTTATTTCTTGCCCATTAAAAAAAAACAGCTGAAAAATAGACTTTCAATAAAGTTCTTATGTTTTGGATGTTTGTTTGTTTGTTTTTTTATTGTGGCTTCTATATTTAAGATCAGCACTTGCAGGTAACAAGGTTCAAATAAAATCACCTAAAATGGAAAGGTTTTTTCCCATGAAACCACAAAAATTGTTCCGTTCTCCTGAAAGTAGCACTTAAAGTCAGTTAAAGTCCAGACAAACAACAGTAGTTAGGAAACTACAGTTGCTGTAGATGATGTGACATTGGTTGGATTTGTGCTGACGTTTGTGTAACTTCCCTCGCTGTTTGTATTTGTTTCACTAGAAGCCATGAGGCTCGAGTTGGCTCTGAGGATTGCTCCAGCAGCACTGCAGTGTGGCCGTGGCCCTGGTTCCGGGGTGTATGTAAAGGTAAGGCTGGTGGAGTAAATTATGCCGTCGTTACGGACCAAAGTTACTGGAACCTGGACTGGTTGACGGACCCACCTCCAACCCTCTCGAAATGCAGAAATGTCTGGAACAACACATAACATGCTCTCTGCGCACCTGAAAAAGAGGAAAGTCAACTCAGCATAATAAAACTTACAGAACAGAATAGTTCAGTTGGAAGGGACCTACAATGATCACTTAGTCCAACTGCCTGACCACTTCAGGAATGAACAAAGATAAAGCATATTATTAAGGGCACTGTTCAAATACCTCTTAAACACTGTCAGGCATGTGGCATCAACTGCCTCTCTCGGAAGCCTGCTCAGTGTTTGATTGCCCTCTTGGTAAAGAAATGCTTCCTAATGTCAAGTCTGAACCTCTCCTGGTGCAGCTTTGAACCGTTCCATGTCCCGGCACATGATACCAGGGAGAAAGGATCAGTATCTCCCTCTCTACTTCCCCTCCTCGAGAAGCCCTAGAGAGCAATGAAATTGCCTCTCAAGCCGTTTTTCTCCAAACTAGACAAACTCATCAAGTTCTCAGATGCTCCTCCAGGCCTTTTTCAGCCCTTCATCAGCTTTGTTGCCCTGCTCTGGACACATTCAAGTATCTTAAAATCCTTCTTAAATTGTAGGGCCCAGAACTACATGCAATACTCATGGTAAGACTACACCAATGCTAAAAACATAGTGGCCAAATCATCTCTTTTGATTAGCTGGATGGGGTTTGCCCTCTTGGCTGCCAAGATGTACCGAGTCTGCTGTCAACCAACACTCCAAGAACCCTTTCTGCAGGGCAGAAAAAACACACTCAAGTGTATAGACAAGTATACACTCTTCAAAGCATCTGGTACAGTGTAATAATCATAAAAGTAGCAGGAAATAGTGTACCTGTACATGGTTTCAGCTTCCACATCACCAAACCAGACACGTAAATTTGGAGTGAAGTTCTGTCCTGTAAGTTCCAACATTGCTACATCCCCACCACCATTCAACTGGGAAGAGAGTGTATAAAAGACAAAGAAGAAAAAAAGGAGTATTAAAAAACAAACACCCACTCTCAGACAGAAAAAAAATAAAATCCTTCACATGTGTACAAGAACTGTAAACAGTTCTGTTTTATCAGCTGGATAAAACTGAAAGAAACACACCAATGCAACTCAACTCTAAAGAATGAACACATCTAAAAGATACTGCCAAATAATTTGATATCCTAAAGGAACTTCTAATTTTTGATAATGGCCACTTAGAAGTCAACAAGGCTTTGCAAACAAAGAACAAGTTAGGAGAACTTCCAGTTTTTCCACAACAGGATGCTTGTTTTCTTAATAAGGCTTCAGTCTGGCCCTTTTTCATCTATAACTGGTTCTTTTAAGAGTCAAAAACAATTTATAAATAATCAAACAGAAGCAAAATCCTAAGAATATCACTACCATAATATTTTAGGAAATCTTAAGTGTATAGAAAAATAGGAATATTTTTCCTGTGATGGACAGGCTCATGTATTCTGAAATGTAGGTAAGAAAAGTTATTGAAACAAATTTCCTATTTATAAAGCTACTAAGAAAGTTTTCCTACAGTATTCCACAAAGGTACCATGAAGGTTAAATCAGTGTTACAAAACAATCTCACATAAAAGAGTTTAACAACTTACTTGAAGACTTTCTACAACAGGCACAGGTGTCACTGGAGCATGGACTGGTCCCATCCCCTCATAAAATGTGTATTCTGCTTTATCTGTGCTAATGATTGTCCAAGAAGCTCCATCATTAATCATTTCTTTATTTGGTTCTTTTGGGCATGGAGTGGCCTTAGAAACAAAGAAAAGTTTTAGATTTGAACTGTAGACTCATTTGCCAAATTACAGAGCTAAAGAACAACTCAGGTATTAAGAACAACTGTTATTTAAAAAAAAAAAAAAAGTATCCTTATGTTTTTCTTCTAACACAGTGACCTAAAGAAACATTCACAAATATTTCAGCAAAACTAGTAGAAAACTGATACTTGTGAGAACACTGTAACTCTCACCTATGACACTGTCACCTCTCCAGCCTTCTGTTTATTATTGGGTTTTATTTTATTTCAGCCTTTAAGTTTTTAATATTATTAAACAGCCAACAAAATACAGCAACTAGAAGCAGCAACTTTAAGGTAGATATGGTTTTATCAATGCAAAGTGACAAAAACAGGTACAGACCAAAGTGGAATACTTTTTATTAGTTATGTTTTACATCTGGCCAAGGTTTTAAAATTGTTTTTAGATAGTACTTCACCATCCACAAAATGATGGAAAATGCAAGCTTGTATTTCAGTGTTTGTGCAAAGACATGGGAAAGAAGTTGAAATGACAACCTCATAAATTAGTAAGAAACTTCCAATGTCTCCTCATTAATATTACTAAATAAGTATACATACATAGATAGAAAATGCACTGATAACTATTTTTTATGCCAACAAAAACCTCTAAACAAGTTAATCATCTAGCAACCAATATGGAAATTGTGTATAGGTTAAACACAGGCACAGAAAAAAATGGGATGCAAAATTTCTACTTTTATTACCTAAATTTTGTTATCTTCCATTAAGTTGTAAGGATATCTAGGTATGTAACCATAACCTTCACTCTTCAAAACTGATAAACTTAAATTAGCTTGAATTTACCAGTTCAGAGGAAAAGATCAAAACTGCATTCTCATGTGGACTCCTCATTCTGATATTATCATGTAAAAAAACCACTAAAAATAGCTTGCAAGGCAAGTGCGCAACAAGGATATTAACTACAGACCTTTCCAAGGTCAAGACTCAACTGATATTTTTATTAGAAATATATGGATCTTCTAAATTACTAGCTCAACTTCAAAAGATAAACTTCTGTACACTATTTAGATGCATGACATTTTTTCTACAGGTTGACTACAATTCCCCTTGGCATGGGCTAACATAATTCCACTTATTACAAATAAAAACATGGATCTAAAAAATGAATAATCCTGTACAAAATCCTTGACTGACTTCTTCAGATCTGCTAAACCCCTGCCACAAAGTGGAAGACAAATGCCATAGATTTTTTTCTGAAATGTCAGGAGCACATTACTCCTTCTGTCACAGAAATCCTTGGGAGATCATCATTCCTCTTCTAGAGAAGCATTTCTCCTTGTCACTTCCAAATACACCAGTATACCTCCAGACCCTCTCCCCCTTCCCCTTCTCTTTCCTAACTGAACTTTCTCAACAGGTGGTACTGAAAGACTGAAATACCATGTTTAATACCTCATATATTGACTGGCTTCATGTGGAGACAGGATGCGAAACAAATGTGTAACAGTAACGGATAAAGGACAGAACTCCCCAGGAACTGATAAACACAAGGACCCAGACAAAAGGAATTCAAGCAATATATTTGGATTTAAAATATCAACAACAAAAGAAAAAAACCTAAACAACAAAAGACCAAACACCACTAACTCATCCCTCTGAAAAAAAACTCAGGAAAGCTCTATATTAAGGGATATTAAAGAAACAGAATTATAATGGATTAGAAAAAGTTGCATTTTGTTGTTGTTGTTGTTTTGTTTTTAATAGAAAGCTAATAAAACAAAAGCAAAAAGCAAAGGGTAGAACTTAAAAGAGTTATTCTCCCTTCAATAGGCACAAATGCCAACAGTGCAGTCTCCTCCCCAAGACTGGTGTTGGGATCACTTTTATGCAGCATCCTCACCAGTGAGCTGGTAAAGTCAATTTTTCAAACTTCTGCATGACCTTAACATTTTCAGTTATTTAAATTCTGTTACAATTGCATGGATTTTATGTCCAGAAGAATATAAAAATAAACATAAAGGGCAAAAAAATCCCCAGCTCAATGTGCAGTGGCAGCTGCAAGTGGCAACAGAACATTGGACACCATCAGAAAAAATATTGAGAACAAGATATCAGGTATTATTTTGCCAGTGTAATCCTTTGTTCACTTGATTCTGGAATACTGTGTGCAGTTCTGGTCCCCCCATTTAACAAAGCCATGGCAAAAAAAAAAGAGAAGGTACACTAGGGACAACTAAGTTCATCAAGGAGCTGCTGACCTTATGAGAAGAAACTGAAAAGACTGGAACTCTCCAATTTGGAGAGAACATAAGATATTGATGGATAAAGTAGCTCACTACATCTTGCAAGACTGGAACTAGGAATCACTCCCAAAAACTACTCATTCAAAACAAACACAGCAATAGTTTACTACACAGAGGACAGGAAACCTCTTGAACTCTCTGCCACAGCATACTCCAGAAAAAGGGAGCATCAGTACATTAAAAAGGAATCAAACTGATGGACCACACATCTACAAAATGAAAGACAGAGTGAAGGATGCAGCCTTCAACAACCTTTAATACAAGAAGTGTGGATACTGTTGGAGTACAACTGCACTGGACTGCGTGAAAGTGACCAGCTCTGCCTGCTTCCTGTAAGCATCATCTATTGCTGCTAGATACAGACTATGCTCTGATCCAGTAAGGCTTTATTTATATTCCTTCTTTATTCTTCAGAATACATGGACATATTCAAAGAGAAATATGGCTGGTACTTCAGCAACTGAATTTCAAGAGTTATGTAGGGTCATGCTGACCTGCTGACTTTTTACAGCTTTAAGCTCCTAAGATCTCTATATTGGGCTATTTCCACTCATCCAAAAGAGAGTTGTCAACCTAAAGTAAAGTTTTGGGGTTTTGTTTTTTTCTTACAGTGCCACAGTCTATGTAAACTGCCTACTATAGGAACTGTATTCAACAGTAAATGCTGAAAAGCACACAGGTGTAAGATGCTACACATGACTGTTTCTCCAGTCCTGGTTTTCTGGTCCAAAGGAAAAAGACAGAGAAAAGGGGATTTCTCTCCTGCCACTGGTGGAAAGAGTTTATCTTCCATGGTGATTGTACATACCAAAGAATGATAACAGCCTGCTAAGAGATGCCAGTCAGCACAAGTTAACAGATTTTATTAAAAAATTTTATTGTCCCTTCTAAGCCACCAGTCATTAATATGTTTCCTGAAATACAAACAAAACTTCTTATATTCTCTTTCCATTGTTCCAAGTCAGGATAGCAGTCAACTGAGCCTTTACTAATCCTTCTTGTTTCTTCCTTTATATTAAGGGAAATCTTAAAGTTAGCTTTCCCTTTTCCCACCTCTACCTTTCTTATCCAAGAAGCTACAGCTGTTCTCCTAAGGAAGTTCCCACTCTTTCTCCAGCATGGCCATCTTCCTGGAACACAGCATTATCTCTTAACACCCTTTGCTATTTGAGCTGCCTAGGATGTTTTTAAAAATACACAGTTCTTAGGCAGGCCCAATCTTGGTCACAGTCTTGTTAAGAACCATACTGACAATCTGCTAAAAGCATGCTAACATGTATGTAAGACTAAAACCATAATTTGTTAGCATACTATATAAGCTGTCAGAACAATTTTACACTATGCTACTTTTTTACAGCTCTCCCTAGGGGTTCTTTCCTGTTACAGTAACTCGCTGGGGTATTTTTCTCCACCTGCTGGAGAAACAAATACTTGAAAACTGACACAGCTACATTCTTCACAGACAAATCAAATTTCTGTGGCTTCGCAAAATACTGTGGTCAACTGCCATGGGTATGTTTATCCTCTTAGTCAAGAGCAAGATTCACAATTAAATAAGTCTATCATGGACTGCACCGTTTTCTATATGCTGTAACCTAGAAATGGACGCACAAATAAGTGGTGTAACTCCACTGGCATATGGCAACACGTTAAGTCACAGTACCACGATTGCATGTACAAGTTCACAGTGTGTTTCCATCTCTTCAACTGGAGAAAAGAGAATTTATTGTCTAGACAGACATGGAAGGTTATGAGGAAAAAAACAACACTACAAAACAGATTTGGAAAGGGACAGATAAAGTTTGCTGCTTTTCATCCTCTGTTTTTTCAAAACATAATATTAGACTCACATTCAAAACCAACTAGAAAACCGGCATTCAGACATATTTTTTTAATATTTGGGAAAAGTTCACAACCATGCATCTCATCTATTGAAATAGTTTGAAACAACTCACTTGAAATTGGATTATTCTCTCCTGGGAAAGGCACAAATACATTCTCTCAGTGTCTTTAAGGTAAAATGCACATTTATGCAGCTGCGATACTGGATCATCTGCATCCAATAACGCTGTTTGTTTATCTACTTTTCGAATGATCTGTGAACGAAAATTGTAGATAAATATTTAGGACAATTTCTGTACTTCATTATATTGGAGATTACATAGGTACTGTTAGTAAAGGAAGTGAAAGGTCTTTTTTTTTATTTATTTCCAGGCCTCCCACTTGAATACCAACATTAGATTCGTAACACTCAATACTTTTGAAACAAGCACACAACACTGAAGTGACACACAGCACTATAGTTGAATATTCTGAGGCAGACAGGTCGATGAATGAAAACAGTTGAAAACAAGGACTGCTTTAAAGGTATCAAGATGCTCTTAAATACAGTTTTGCAAACTCAACAATCATAGCGTATCTTAACAATAGCTGGTCATTAAATATTAAAGACAAATAGAAAGAACTATTGTTCCTTACATCTGGCAGTTCAATGAAAAAATATCTGCTGACTTCATTCAGAGCTGTTTTGCTGATTTATTTTTTAAAATTGAAAAAGCTATTTCCTTACAGAGAGAGTAAATATGTAGCTTGGAATTTCAACTCAACTTATAGAAAAAAGTTCACTATTTCATTTTCTGCAGTATCAGCAGAAGCAGCAGCCAAAGCGCTTGAGGATTTCTAAACTGACAATCAAAAAGTCAACCTTGTCCTCTGGGATTTCTAACGAGAATAAATGGCATTATTAGCAATCTAAGTTTCAAGGTTAACTTGTTCTTCAAAGTTCTTTGCATTAACCTATAAAATGTCTGCAAGTTACCTTTTAATCATATCACCTTCAGTCTTTTAAGGCAGCATGACAATAGCAAACAAACAGGAACCTTTAACCTATTATTTTTTTATTTATTTCTACCTACAAATAAGGTTTCCAAAATCATAAATGACGGCATCTCCTTTCAGCAGTAAGAAAATATTAACATGAAGGCCACAAATAAAGTGAGATCCTCTTACTGACATGTGCACTTGTGCACTGAACCAGATCATTAGTTACCAGGTCTGTATTTTTCTGTCAAATGTGAATTGGGAAGAAAAATAAAAGTTAAAAAAATCTGTTTTAATGATAATTTTATACAATTAACTCCGAATATGGATATCTTCTTTTTTAGCTATATTTGATATTGGGAGAGAATTTCTCACTACAGTCCTAGTAAAATAAGTCTGGGAAGAGGAAAAAAACCTGCCGGAAGGGAAGGTTAGTTTTACACTGGTGCATTCTAAAAACCATTTCTTAATTAAAAGTGGAATTAGCAGAGCCTTGTATGAAATTCACACAATTTCACAGAAAATCTCATAGAAAGCATTGTTTATTATAAGCCATATAAAATTCCACTTAAGCTGGCATTAAATTAATAAAACAGTAGAAACTCCCCCTATAATTATGCTTACACTTATTTATAAAAAACATTCCTGTATATCCAGCAATAATTTTTTTGGTTCACAAACCTTAACTGGTTATAATCAAATTTGTATCTGTGACAGAGCTGAAATTGTCTCTTTCTAAAAAAAGTAATTCCAAAGGCATTTCCAATGTTCCATATTTAAACCAGACAGTATTAATAAAGGTACAAAATGCTTTTGCAAGCTGGTATTGGTATAATTATGTATCCCTAGAAGTACACAGAAGTGCTTTTAGATTCAAAACAGTAAAGCATTTTCAAAGCTTTAATGACTTCAACAAATAGAACAGTCCTACTGGCTGCAAAGACTTTACTCATCTTTCAATATCAATAATTAAAGTATTTTGTTACACTGAAACCTACATTACTGTTTTTAAAATAGACATTTTCTTAAGGACAGCTTGCAGATTCACCTACTTTGGCAGGTCTAAAACCAGAAAAATCTCTTATGCTTATTTTACAAGCTGTTCTTTGCTTACATACGCTTAATACGCAGATCTAAAAATACAGTATTTAAAAAATGAATACTATTTTACATAAAAAATATGTACTCCCCAAAAGGAAGCATACAAAGCTAAAAATTGGAGTAAACAATGTAAACCCAACTATGCAATTATACAAAGCAACCATCTACAAATTAATTACAACATTGGAGAAATTAAACTGTACCAGTCTTGGGAGTGCCATGCCAGTAACTGAGCATACAAGTTTGACAGTCTGCCCATAATGAATGTAGCCATCTCTCACTGTGAATTCTTCTCCTTCTGATTCGTCATCATCCACTGCATGAAATATGAATTTCCACATTATATTTGTTTTAATCACTATTTTCCTTTGTACAAAGAACATTTAACACCACATTACGGCACCAAATATACACTCAGTAACAAATCTGCATACGGGCAATTAATATGAAGGAAAAAACCCGGGACTATGTTATATGGGGATGGAGGGAGTGAGGTGAAAAAATATATTGTTTCACTTTTACTTACAGAGGTGAATGTAAAATGCTCCCCACTGTTGCGAACTGGCATGGAAATTACCACCTTCTACGTGCAAATATCTGGTGCTAACTGTTTGGGATCGGAGTCTATTAAATAGTGCCACTTTTGTCCCTGATGCAATACATACTGTAAGGAACACATATAGACTTCAGATTATCCAATTACTTCATTATGACATAGAAAAGTACAAAAAGTCACAAATACAGTAAAATAAACTGATGAATACTGGAAATCAAGAAATCACTCTCAACTATTGGTTAATTTAGAAAATATTTATATTTGTGACAGAACAAAAATAATCACAGAATTATAATTGGGATAACACACACAAAGGCTGTTCTCCAAAGGCATGCTAGTTCACAGAATTTTGCCACTTAGCCAAGTGGGCAAGTGCTTGCCAGCTGAAAACTCCTGCTAACAGTTCTCCAACAACTGCTTATTTCAGCAAAAGCTTTAGCTTGCCCATGTGAAGTACTTAGACAATTTTCAGTGATCATTTGAGGTATATCTGAAGTATAAAGAAAAATCCTTATAAATCACAATCAATTGAAAGGAAGACAGACATAAATATGTAAAATTGTAACCATGCAACTTGAAATTTTCTCAGATCTGAACTTACTTAACATTCAAGAGAGAGAAATGCTCTCCAAGAGAGAAAGTCTGCTCTCCTAAAAAAAAAAATAAATCAGCAGCTAGCACTCTGCCATCAAACTGGCACGTTTCTTCTACTTGGTTCATATTTACAATTGAAGAATGCTTGGTTTATATTCACTGTCCATCAAAACTATCTGTCTGAATACAAAGTCAACAGTGCATACTCTGAGCCCACGGGTGTGAACTCCACAGCAACAGATTGCCTTTAGTCATGTGGCAAGCTAGCGGCCCCGAGATCCACATTCCATAGGTGAATGGGTTCCAGCCCAACACAGATGGAAGAGCCTTTTAAAGCACTAGTGAAGAGAGAGAGAAAAACAAACAAAAAAAAAAAAGGGTATCTCTTGAGGTGCTCCAGTGGTATGCAGGCAGGAACTTTGGCGGAAAAGCAAAAATACTCCCAATTATACATTAGCACCAGAGATACCTTTAGCTGAAAAACACGGTAAGCAAATAAATCTGGGTGAAATATCACCATACAGATTTAATAACCAATTACTTCAAGGGAACCACACAAAGATATTAAAAATAAAACCAACATGAAAATGGCATGAGACAGTAAGAAGGTGGCTGTGATGTGACAAAGTGCACTTTGGATAACATGATGCTACTCATTTATCACAATCTGAAACCTATCTCTTTGATATTGATCAAGACATTCTAAACAACAGATCATGGCAGCTTACGAGCTCCACCAGCTTAGAAAGCTGAGGCAATGCATTATTTATGCATTTAAAAGCATTAATTCCTCATAATTAAGTTTTTTTGGTGGACTTTTTCTATTTACTGAAAAACTAATTACTCCATAAAACTGAACTGTGTATAGTGCATATCTATATTGAAATACTTAAAAATGCACTGTACAGTTCTGAAATACATTAGCAAAACAACAAACTGAAAATGTAATTTATTTAGTTGTATCTGGTTTGTAGTTAGACCTCAGAGCACATAAGGAAAAAATCAGGAGGAGGCAAGATGATTTGCTACATAAAGAAAAGAATTGTAATATACTTACAGTCTGCATTTTTCAGTGACTGTTTCTTTTTAGAAGGTTTGGAGATTACTTTGATCCGTTTACTAAGGAACACACCGATGTCGTCACTATTGCCATAGAACATTTTTACCGATAACATGAAGTGCTTTCTCTTGTCTGAGTCTGATATGTATAATGTTTTGGCAGTGCAATAATTCTGTAGGTGAAAACATATTGTTGTTTCTTCTTCCAAGTCAACTCAGTTCAATCAACTATATATATATAATAATAAACAAAACAGGAAAACTGATGTGATAGTTTCTAAAACAGAACAGAAACTGCTTTTTCCATCTCTTCTATATGGGTATCTTTTATGGCTACTGTTTAGCTTTGTGAAGTTTAACTCTCAACTTCAGTAGTTTACTATCTTTCTAAAGACCCTTAGCAGAACTTGTGCCCAGGTGGCCAAGAAGGCCAATGGCATCCTGGCCTGTATTAGAAATAGTGTGGCAGGAAGGACCAAGGAGGTGATTGCTCCTCTGTACTTGGCATTAGTGAGGCCATACCTCAAATAATGTGTCCAGTTTTGGGCATCTCAATGCCGGAATAACATCAAGGTCCTGGAGTATATCCAAAGAAGGGCAACGAAGCTGGTGAAGGGCCTTGAGAACAAGCCTTATGAGGAATGGCTGAGGGAACTGGGGCTATTCAGTCTGAAGAAAAGGAGGCTGAGGGGAGACCTCATTGCCCTCTACAACTACCTGAAAGGAGATTGTAGAGAAGTAGGTGCTGGTCTCTTCTCACAAGTAACTGATGATAGAACAAGAGGAAACGGCCTCAAGGTGCACCAAGGGAGGTTTAGACTAGACACTTTTCACTTAAAGGGTTTTCAGACATTGGAACATGATGCTCAGGGAGGTGGTTGAGTCATCATCCCTGGATGTGTTTAAAAGTCATCTAGATACGGCGCTTAGGGATACGGCCGGGTTAATGGTTGGACTCAATGATCTTGAAGGTCTTTTCTAACCTAAGTGTGATTCTGTAACTGGAAAGCAGATTACTAGAGACTGTAGCTGTGTTAAAGCCCCACTAAAAATTACATTTGAGTAGTGGTACACAGGCAGCTCTGTGTAGAAAATGTGTTGACTCAAACTTTTCTTGAAAGGACGGGAAATGATTGGATTTTGAAACACTATAAAGTTACTGTTGACTAAACGCTTATGCTGTGTGACAATAGGAGCATAAATAAATTCTGAGAGAGAACTATTATTATTCTTTTCCTATTCGGCAAAATATGATGCGTTTCTGAACAGACTGTGCTGGAAACACTAGGTAGCTATGAGGTACTGCTTAATAAATCAACCAGCAAAAACAAGCACTCCTGCTCGTTATATTCCATCTGTTAAAGTAATCACAAATATCTTCTAAAAAAAATCTTATATCAATTTATATCACTGCAAAAAACTAAAACACTACATTTAATAAGATGCTATTTTAATTGTATTTTATGCAAAGGGACTTAAAGACCACTTCAAGCATAGATGTTTTTCAGATACTTCCTTTATGAGATTATCCATTCATGCAAGACAGGGAGAGGGACATAACAGTTTGATCCAGAAGCCTTACTTCAATTAACCATTGATGCCTACTAAATATCCTAACAGTTTACTGACTCTGAATCAACAACCTACAAATGACAGGTTAATGATCCCTCCTATGATCCCATGAACTAAATCTACCTATTAAATTGTCCTATATATTTTTGAAGGATTTTTTAAAAATTACTTATGTAGTATCTTCTACAGGGTAACAAAGTTCCCAAAAATAAACAAAAGGATTCCTTGAAATATGCACCATGTAACCATAGTACCCTTTGAAATGGCTTATTACAATTTTTCTACCTTTCCTTCCAAGTTCAGCTGCTGCATTTCTTGGTCGCTGTTTCCTATTCCAATGAAGGCGCAAGGTTGTGACTCTTGCTCAGTGCAACCATCCCGTTCCATCTGCTCTTTTTTTTTCTTCCATCCACTGCCCATAAGATACACACATGGAGGAGGACAAAAGAACCTGAAAATGTAAAATGCATTTTGAGATTACATGCAGCATTCAAGAAAATTACTGAGATAGCAACTGACATGCATCCAAAGCATTCTCAGCCCATTTATACTTTGCCTTCGAGTTTATACATGTATGCTTCTGAAGATTTTCTAAAATGTAAATGAAAAGATAAAAAGTAAGGAAAAAATCAGCATTAGATGCACTGTCACTGAGCATCTTTCTAGTTCAATATACCATAGGTAACAGCCCACATCTCTATAAAACAAAAACATTTTCTACCCTTTACAAAGAAGAGTTTTGAGAAAGCAAAAAGGCCTTGATAAAGTGATGACAGTGTTTTACTTTTGTAGGTGCTTAACATGATGCAGCAGTTAATACATACAGAACAGTTCTACAAATTAATTTAATGGACAACTCCTGAATATAATTCCTAAACAGTGTTTCATCATGAGCATGGAGGATGTTCATTCTATTCAAGCATAAATCTCTCTCCAGTTTTAAAGGGAAAAGATGATTTTACACCTTCATCATTGACTGTACAAGACATGATCTAGTCTTTGGCAGCACTGACTGAAGTCAGTCCAGATGCTCCTTACAGCAACATGTTCAAATTGCAGTGCAGCATTATAATACAATGTATTGAAGTTTATGCAAATTGTTAAAACACAAATCCCAATCCCTTTTGACGTTACATTTGGCCAACAGCTGCAGTGTTTTTATCATAATTTAGTTAAGATCAAAGTTAGAAAAACAGAATATGCACAGTAATTTGTGAGGTAGCTGAGAATGAATGAAGGGTGAAGACCACTAAAAAAGTTTTTTTAATTCTATTTTTTTCAAATTCAAGAGTAGTGCTTAACTTGGCACTTTTGAAAGCCAAATACAACTCTTTAACTTATACAGGTAGTTAGGTGGGTTTTGGTTTTTTTAAAAAAATTTTGCTTGGGACAACTAAATTAATGGATTATTTATATTAAACACCATATAAACCTCAACTACTGGATGTCAGCTTTAGTTTGAAAATCAAGTCTAATATATTTTAGTATGAAAATAAAGTCTAATACACGTATTTATCTCAACTGTTCAGCAAAATTACCTTTAACAGATAAAAAATGCTTTTCTAAGTAACAAAATCCTTAATAGATGAAACAAAAGTCCTGCGCTATCAGGCAATAATAAAATGTAAATATTAAGAATCCAATAAATAAATGCAAAGATTTGTAACACTTTCAGTTAATGCACACAATTAATGTATATTCTTTGCTAGAGAAAAACAACCAAACTTTGAGTTTTACTGCAATTCAAAATGTCTCAGTGGTTATGATAATGAGCAAAAATTGTCCCCTGCAGGCAAAAAAATAAAACATTCTATATTGTAAATAAATCCACAGTGAAGTTAACACTTTAAAACACAACAAAACTGATGAGATACAGCAATATGCAGCTTAAATATACATGCCAGTCTTTCAGAATTATTGTGCTCTGGTTTGAAAAAAAATTCCTATAGAAGAGAATTTGTAGAAAGCGGCTTGCTATGTGACATCAAAACAACTGCATGGTTGAGAATCCCATTAAATTAATTTCTGAAACTGCTCCTACAGATTGCTTTTTAAACATAATAATTGTAAACACAATGAAACAAATGATATATTCTCTCTATTATGATAATGACTTCAGCAAAGACTTACAACAATTATTTGCCCCTTTTATTGCCTTCACGCTGTTCTGAAGCGTAGAAATTTTTATAAATATGGAATGATGGATTAATAGAAAGCTACCTGTAAAAGCGAACTATTCAAAGTTTAACAACTAACATTTTTTCATGCTTACTGCATCGGTTTTAACTATCTGTATTTTATTTGGGTAATTATGGGTCATATTAAAGGCTCTGGAATTTTTCTTCTTCCAATTGAAAATGCATAATACAAAGAACCAAAGGAACAGGTAAAAACTTGACAACTTGTAAAGCAGATGTTTCCTAATAGAACTGTCAACTTCAAAAAGTATACTATAAACTGCCTCAAAAATAAAAATTAACACTTTTGCAGTAGTAGCACAAGAAAATAATTCCACTAGCCCAGCCATGAATCATAAAGCTGAAATTTGTAATTATCTGACATCAGAATGTGTCTTTGTAACTTTACAGCTTTAAGAAAAGAAATTCTGAAATTTGAAAATCACGATGCATAGAAAGAATAAGTAGTATTAAATGCCATCAAATAGCACACACTATGTATTCCCTTTTTGCTTGTCATGCCTTTTGCTTCTTAACTCCTGCTACGTGACCTGTTCCAGCTTTCTTCATGAAGATGCTGAATGATGCAGTAGGGTTTTATTTAAGAACATCACGAGTTTCTGTTGCATGCCAATAAAATCCTCCCCTTGCTACTACAGATTCTTGTTCTTAAAACCAGGAATGCATTTCCTACTTTTCATTTGCATTTATTTCAAATAGCACAGATGACATGACCTAATTTGCCTCAAATGCTTCTCTACCCTAAAGGAAAAATTACTTCAAGAGTACTTAGGTTTGTGAGGGAGACAGTGCAATGACAATGGTCAAAATAATAAAATTAATATTAAGTATACAACATGCATATTTACTTTCTCCACGACCAATCTAATTTATATGCCCTGCTTCACTCCACATCTAGATGTAAGTACCATTAACTGTTGTTAAAAATCTATTTGGAAGTTCATCCACTGGTTGCTGAAACTTTCAGCAGTTTTTAGGAAAACAGAAAACCAAAACAAAGGAAGAAATAACAGCTTTAGCATTACATTGAGAAAATTTCTACTGCAGACAACTGTGATCACATTTTAAAAAATAAATAGATATACAGAGATATACCTACGGGTGGGAGGGAAGCAAGTGGGTAAGAGCCTGGATAGGGAAACATTATGGTGATCCCCTATGAACAATACTTTCCAGATGGGGGTTATGAACTAACTCCAAGATTAGGAAGTGCAAAGTTTTGGGGAAGAAACTTCAAGCAACAGATGCATTTATTCAAGACTTTATCTTCTAGAAATAAACTCAGATTGCCAGAAAAAGCATACCACATACCTAGTCAGCTTCCAACTCTCAAACTTGAATGACAATACAAGAAACCTTTCAGTGTTAATTGATGTATCCCACTAATTTTATTCTCAACAAATAGAAGTTATTTCCAATAAAGAAATTATACACAGACTAAAAATAAATATGCAAACTTTATTACCAGAGCAATGCTTTGCAAAAAATAAAACAAACCTCTTGAATTCCAAATACGTATAACATCATAAGGCAAATATCACACATTAATCTTCCTTTCTCATGTACTCTTTTGTGTCTCTTACTGGTTAGAACACAAAAAATCCCATCATTTTTTCATATCAACTTTATTCTAAACAAAGTCCTCTGAATAACTACAGCCACTAGATGGCAATGAAGATCGATTAAGAAATAAGTTTTAGCCCATTGATGAAGAGAAAACAAGCCACAACAATTGAAGTGCTCTTTTAAAATTAGAACACAGAGGAAAAACCTTGGAAAACTATAACTTACTGAACAAAGAACCTTTTGCAGCTGAGACAATTTTAAGTTTTGTTAAAATTAGCAAGTAGGAAGAAAATCTGGACATTCAAAATCTGAATGAATTTTCTTATGTTTCAGCCTCTTATCCTTCAGATACAAACAAGTATGGTCTGGAAGGTTTTCACTTCATATTTGCAATCCCAGAAAATCAGTACAGAAGAATTTAACTAAAAATGTTCTATCCAAGATAGTGTGAATAAACCATGAGTATCCTCATACTTCTAATTTTCACAGAGGATTAAAGAAAGTGTCTTTGATATGTATAAAACAACTGCTGGAAACAGGTTATCTCATTAATAAAACATTTTCAATGCAAATAGGAATGTTAATGTTAATGTGATTTTCAGTACAAGTAGAAAACCACGTAGCATGTAATTTCCTCACTGAATTTATAACATTCTCTTAAAACTTCTTCTCTGTGCTATAAGCAGACCAGCAATTCCTTGCTGAATGAGTAGTAAAACAACACAGGACATTGTTCCATGAGGTAAACATCTAACAACTACATAAAAAACCAAAACATTAAATCGATTAGGAAACAACTCCATGAGTTCTTTTGTCACTGCAACAACCAGCAATGTCTTTCCTGGAGAAAAGCTATCCCGCACTTGTTAGAGCTACATGACAAGATGTGGATTCATTTCTTCTCACTTGCTGATACAAAGCACAGTGACTGAACCAGGGTAATATTTTGGGACACTGCATCTCTGCAAATGCTTCATGTGTTTAATGTGTATCTACAACATTTTGTTGTGGACTCCTAGTTTCTCAGAAGAGGCTCTTCTGATGCTCCTCCATGCATCTTCCAAGAATTTGTGATCAGTGTAATTAAAACTACGGACAGTTTTAAATGAGTTTAACTTTGGAAGTGGTATTAGCCAGGAAAGGTCAGGGGATCAATCTCCAGAAAATAAAGGGCATCCCAGCAGTACCTTTTTACACTACAATTTCACAGGCCACTCAAGCGAGGAAAGACCATAGTATCACCACCTCTGTCTTAGATTCCCGGCTCAGTAGGTACAGCAAACAGAAGCAAGCTGTTAGTCTTTTGTTATGACAGATCTATTCCAGCAGACCAACTTGAAACTGAACATTTTTCCATGGCAAAAAACAAAGCTGAGATTTGTCTAAGGATGCTTGCCTTCATTTAAAATGACTTTAAAAGAACAAGGTCATTTCTAGTGGTTTCCAAGTCTTGACTTCAACGACAGCCTTTGGCACCAGCCAGAATATGGTTTTAAGTCAGACACTCACCAAAGGAGAGAACAACACGCCTTCAGCCCAATCAATACAGAGAAAATATAGTACTTCAGAAGTAGAGAAGCTACCCTAACTGAACTTGCCAGGAAGCAAGGGGTAGAAAGTAACCTAAAATCCTTTCATGTCATTGCTACCTAGTTCTAACACAGTCAGTGCTCTTTTCAAACCACAGGCTTCTAGTCTCAAAGTTTTGCTTTTCCAAATAATCCAAGTAATCCCTGCATTCATCTTGCAGAACTCTTTGCCTTCACGAGGATTTAGAGGTGTCGTTCACTAACAGCCGTAAAACAAGATGAAGCTAGACCATTCTCAGGCTCATCAGTGGTGATAAGGTTTAAACTCAGAACAGCATGTAATCCACAAATACCAATCTGGCTCTCAGTCTTTAATGAATTGTCTTGGAATCCAAAACACTTCAGTCCTTTAAGGTGTTAAATGTTCCCACTGTTCAGACTCCAAAGCGAGAATGGTAATTATGGAAAAAATACCAGCAGCACAAGCCAAACACTCACACTCATCAGAACTAAGTATCACCTGAGTATCAGCTGAATGCCTTTGAAAGATGGCAGCCATCCAACAGGAAGCATTAGGCAAAGTCTTAAAACTAAACTCAAGTCCCTCCCTGAGCTTCTTACCTCTTGACTTCTTAGTTAAACTCCACAACAGTAAATATGAGAAGAGCAAGGCTAAAAAGAAAAGTCCACTCAAAAAAGAAAGAAGCTTGCTTTCATTATGGTTATGTATGGATAAACTATCAAGAACACTCTCCAATTATCCCAGAAGTTCCCATCCATGTGGCAAAAACCTGGAATTATGTTTCTGTGAGGCCTATTTAAACCACACCACACTAATGCCAGATCTGCACCATCTACATCTAATTTTCAACACAGTTATTTATTTCACCATCTACCAATCTTCACCAAAACACTGAAAGTTATCGTGCTAACCTTTTAACTGTGCCACGCAAAGTTTATTAATGATAAATATTTTTAGTTATTTCATAACAAACATGGTTTAAAGACTGGAACAAAAGGTGGAAGTTTGTTTAGGGTTTTTTTAGGTTCTATATTTACTTGACAAACACGTAAAATTTAAGAAATAATTAGTTTTGTAACTTGGATTCCTAGTTCCAGTGATAGTGCAATTCGACTTAACTATTTTTTTATCAAAAATTAACCAGATTATCATAGAATCACACCTGGTTTGCATTGGAAGGGACCTTCAAAGATCATCTAGTTCAAATCCCCCTGCACAGGGGTGGGGTGGCAGGGACACCTCCCACTAGACCAGATTGCTCAAAGCCACATCCAACCTTGAACACTTCCAGGGAGTATCCCCAACTTCCCTGGGCAAACTGTTCAAGTGTCTCACCATCATTATATCCATGCCATAATGAAACCCCATGGAAAACATGGAAATTTTCCACAAAAATAGGTGTGAAATGTTTTTCTGTCTATAAATCAGATATATGCAAAACAACTCACTTCAGAAATGGTCTTAGTGTAAAAATTTTGAAAACTTGAAAACTCAACTTGGCTGTTGAGTTTGTTGCAAAGGGTTAAAGCCACTATCTGCTGCTAGTAAGGCCTTGCATTGCAACCCTTTTGCACTTAAAAACGGCAGTGAGCAAAAGGGCTGTATAGTTACACACGAGCGTACGTGTCTGCATCTGTGCCCTTCCTCCTTCCTTTTTCACTGACTTCCCATTCAATTCTCATCAAGAATTTCAGAAAGATCTAAAAAGCACTTTGAGTAAACAATCCCACGCTGCAGAACCTGGACACTGCCTGAACACACATTGAAAGACAAGTACTCAAGCACAGAATACTGAAGAACAGTTGAAAATACAATCTATATCTCTGTGACTCACAAACATCAGGAAGTGTGATTTAGATTGGTAGCAAACCAAGAACTCTGCAGGTTTAATTCTAACATTCCTGTTTTCTAACACTTTCATACATATATGTTAAAATCTCAAATTTCAAAAAACTGCAAAAAACCTAATGATGTAGCAGGACTTGTGCAACAATGGCAAAGAAAGGTGAAAACTTTAGATCTTTTAATGTATTGAATATGTGGGGTTTTTTTGGTGAACAAATAATACAAAGTATCTTAAAACTAACCAAATACTGCACTACTTATTTTACTGAAATTTAAGATTGAAAAGTATAATTTATACTTAAATTCTATTTCATCATGAGAGGACTAGAAATCTGCATATGAAGGACCATCCTACTTGCTTTCAACTAGTCATGAAATGAAAACAACCCACAGAAGACTGCAGGAAATTCACCTTTGCCTAAAAAGCATTCAACTTGACATCTTCCTGTAGGTTCTGTCCCTTAGAAAACTGCCTATTATGGTAAATTGTAATTGATTTGTTTTTACAAGAGTGTGTTTATCATAAATATAATTATAATTGACCTGACATTCTTTTTAAAGCTATTACAGATATGATTCAGAAAAGCATCTTAATGAGGCTAGCCATTCCCATTTCACACTAATATGAAATTACTCAGAAAGAACCTCCTCTACAGTCACCATTAATTGCCTTGTTTGCACCAAACTTAAAATGGAACGTTTAAAATTAAAGCTATTTTAGTTCAATGGAAGATCCTCACCTACATAGAACCCGTCGGTATAAACAGGCATCACTACATTGAATTCCACAAATTTGCAACATTCGTAACATAATTATTTACAAGAACACGTTTTGGTTTACGTTTTTTCAGACTACAGTACAACCTGAGGAATTCTGCAATGCACTACACACCAGAGTACACACTATATTTTCCCTAGCTGGGAGATGTAGAGGAAGCCCACTTACCTTTTTTCATTTCCATATGATTTCTGTGCAACTTTTGCGTGGAGTATTAGCACAGTTTGATCCCCTCGCTCCTTTAGGTAATTTCGCATTGCTTCCCTAAAGAAGACAAAATAAGCTTTGAAAGTTCTTTAGGTTCTGTTTATAATTAAAGGAGATGAATAAATAAAGACAGCTTTAGGACAAAAAAACCTTGAAATTCAAAGAACACAACCATGAATAAGATCAAGATGTTATTGTTTTGCTTTTCATTGCCTTTCATGACAATTGCACAGCAAAAGGAAGCAACTATCTTGCATGAAGCTACAAGTAGGGGTCTGTGGTCATTTACAACTACTACATTGTCCAGAAAAAAATGACGCTTGTCATGTAAAATTATACAATGCCAACTATTACATCATATTCAAAGTCTGATTTTGTAAAGTACTATACCATAAATATTTTGTTAGAACATACTTTATTACTTCAATATTGTCTCCTTAATCAATTTAGCATCTCAAGATAATGACAAATTGTTCTGGAATTTTGTTTAAGCTATTAACTAAATAAATGCAAAGTTTATAGAAAAGTTTTCTTTTCGTTGTGAAGACACTAAGAAGAAGTTAAAATTCTTCAGCTTCTTGTTTCACTTAGTTTTCTAGAGAAAGCCTTTACTTCCTGCATGTAATCAGGTAAAAAACAAAAAAAAAGCTTTTCTATTGTTCATCATCACTGTAATGATAGACATCATATAAAAGCTATAATTATCTCAAACACACCAATAGCAATTCCTTGAGAGAAAAGAATAATACATTCTATCATTTTTCTGTGTAATCTAACTGTTCACTAACCAGCATGCCAAATTTAACACCCTAGGGTTTAGCTGTGTCGAAACATTTAAGTCCCTGGAGGAGCTTTTGCAGGTTGAATGCCCACCAATACACTCATGGTCAAAGTCATCAACCAGAGAAACAAATTATCAATTTAAGGGGAAGTTACAATAAGAGATGAAACCCTACAGAAGAGAGATTTTTTTGTTTTGTGTTTTTTTGTGAACTGCACCCAATTGTTGAATTCATAGAATCATTAATGTTGGAAGGGACTTTAAAGATCAAGTTCTAACCCCCCTGCTGTGAGTAGGGAACCCTGCCTCTAGACCAGTTTGCAAGGAACCTCATCCAACCTGGCCTTAAAAACCTTCAGGGATAGGGCATCAACAACCTCCCTGGGCAACCCATTCCAGTTCCTCACCAACCTTACAGTTAAGAATATCTTCCTAATATCTAACTTAAATCTCCCCTCTCAGTTTAAAACCATTACCCCTTGTCCTATCACTATCTTCTCTGATGAAAGGTCCCTCTCCACCTTTTCTGTAGGCCCACTTTAGGTACTGAAAGGCCACTATAAGGTCTCCCCATAATTGCAGGTCTCCCTCTCTGTAACTGGGCTGATCTATTTTATCTTTCAAAAGACAAATGCATACTCTTGCTCTGAAAAGTCACACCACAACAGCAAGTCTATTAACATAGCCTCAAAACTCTTTCAAGGAAAATAATAAACCATCACAGGAGTCCTGGCAATTTTACATTCACTTTACTAGTGTCCAATGCCTTTCAAATTTGGATTCTCTCAAAATGCAATTATAGAATGTCATAACCAAGATCTTCTTACAGAACTACAGCAACAACCCCAGCCTTGTGTGGAAAAAAAGGAAGCTAAGAATGGGACAAAAATGTCGTTTCACACTTCAAAAATAATGGCAGCATAAAGCATCTTTCATTGTCTCTAAGCAGATCTCCAACCTGCAACTCTCCAAGTACAATCACTATCTTCTATCTGCACCGATAGTGTCCGATCACTACCTTCTCTGATGAAAAGTCCCTGCCCAGCTTTCCTGTAGGCCTCTTTCAAGTATTGGAAGGCTGCTATAAGGTCTCCCTGGAGCCTTCTCTTCTCTAGGCTGAATAGCCCGAACTCTCTCAGTCTGTCTTCATAGCAGAAGTGCTCCAGGCCTTTGATCACCTTGCTGGCCCTTCTCTGGACCCTTTCCAACAGGTCTATATCTTTCTTGTGCTAAGGGCACCAGAACTGTACACAGCACAGTCTGACCAGAGCAGAGGGGCAGAATCACCTCCCTGGCCTTGCTGGCCACACTTCTTTTGATGCAGCTACAGGATGCAGTTGGCTCTCTGGGCTGCGAGCGCACACTGGTGGCTCATGCCCAGCTTCTCATCAACTACCACCCTCAAATCCTTATCCTCAGGACTGCTCTCCAGCCATTCTTCCCCCAGCCTGTATTTGCGCCAACCTAGGTGCAGGACCCTGCAGTTTGCGTTGTTGAACTTCATGAGGTTGGCACTGGCCAACTGGATTGCCTTGATGGTCCTATTTTATGCTATCTCTGATTGTTTAGACTTCACTAAAAATTGGTAAAGATCACTCCTTGACAGCAGTTTTTCATATTGGGAGACATTTTTACCCAAGAAAAGAAATACAGCTCATTTCTGGCAATTCAAAACTCAGAAGATTCACATCCTACACAATAATCTACAGTAACTGATATGTGAAGTCAATACCATTTCTAAATGGCACTTTGGGGTATGATATTAAAAACAAGCCACTTGCTGTAAAAAATTTACTTCTGGCTGCTGATTGCATCATCATTATCATCATTAAAAAGCCCTGGTATTTAAAATTCTAGGACTATCAAGCCACAATTTTTAAACTTAGAAATCCTTGTCAAAATGAAAAGGGAAACTTTAGGAAATTGTCAAAATCAGAATTTCTTTAATGCTTACCTGGTGAGCCGTTTCGGTTGAGGTCGCTCTCCAAATTTCCTGAAAAAGGAAGAATTTGCTAATATAAACCAAAACTGTTTAGTCATAATTTTACAGTTAAATACCATGCCAATTTTATGATTTTTGAAAATGTACTGGAATCTGGTATAATTTTAATAGTAATTTATTTAGAAATTAGAAAGAAAAATCAACCAGCTCTTTGCAACAGCTTTTCCCAAAACAGCATCAGCCTTTTTTTACTACAACACTAGATAACTTACTTTGCCAAAGCCACATTTACTTAATTTCTGACTCATTTTTTAAAAGTTCAACTACGACAAGTGTGTAAATGACCAGGAGATCTTTGCCACTATGGAAACCAGAACAAAAAGCAGTTTCTATGAACATACAGAAATTTACACACTTATCTCTGAATTAACAAATCACAATAAAATGCTTCCCATCACAACAGTTTCTCTGAAATCTGATTTCTGATTTTCCTCAATGACATCTTACAAAAAGAATGACAATGTATTTCATGTGCTCTGGTACAGAATTATAAGAAAAACGTCTTTTGTGGAACATACCCATCCATGATCCAGAAAGATCCTGCAATACATCTAACTGTTTTCAGCTAGAAAGTGTTTTGAGACAGCTGTGTTTCTTTTAGTGCTTTAACACCGTTCTTGAGAGAGAGTACACTCTTTACACTAGGTTCAGACTTTCCACAATAGTCTTTATTTCATAAGACACTGAATTTACACAAGACAAAAACATTTTCATTAACAAAAGCATCTTCAGATTAAAGCAAAATGGTCTGATAAAAGACCTGAAAAAAGGAAGCCTCTACCCAGCAATGTGCACCTGCAATGTATATCAGCTCAATCTGGTAAGGAAGCATAACCACAAGATAAAATGACCATGAAGAAAAAAAAAAGTTTAGCTTAACACCTTTCTATCTAAATATAAACTAAGGCATAAGAGACTGTGCTTCTGCTGCCAGTGTTCATAAATATCTCTATGACTTGACAAACTCCTTGATAAGTGGTTCCCTTTATGCTTCCTGGATAGTGAAAAATACACATCTTACATTGCCCTACAACAGTGTTGGAGGCTCCCTAGGACAACAAGACCTTCATCACTAAATGATGTGCAAAAAATTCCCCTGTTCATGCAGGAGATCTGTTCTGAACCCTACAGCAACTGGTGATGGAATGAGTTGATACATTTCAATTGTACTTGAGTATTTCTACAAATGTACAAAGTAAAAAGTAGTTACTGTCCTTTATATAGTTGAGCAGAGTAGCACTCTCCTGAAAAGACAGTGACAAGAACATTCAGCAAATTTTGAAGTAATTTTTCCAGACTTGAGAAATTAGTATTATAATGTACTAGTAGTCCACTCTACACAGAATAATATATTTTAAATGTTGAGGTCTACAGGATATGTATTTAAACTGTATTTTTCTCTGTGCTGTCTATCATCATTTCACCATATTTTTAATGCAGAAAGATAACTAAAAAACCCAAACTCTGAAGTTTGGCAGCAGGAAAGTTATATCCCAAAGCCTTTCTGCTTCTACCACTTATCTGTCGAGGATCTGCCTAACTTCATCTCCTGAGCACACTCTGTGACTCTCATTTTCCCTGGATGACAGCATGAGTAGGTGTGCATATCCCACTCACCTGTCAGTACTATATATGCAGTTACTGTTCTTCCCTGAAGACCTAGGATCATCACATGTGCCAGAAGACTCACCTGCCTGTGACTCACTGACTAGACAACAGATTACCTTTAGGCAACACTCTACAGATAAAAAAAAAAATAAATGCCTATAGAGTAGCTCCCTAATTTTAATTCACCATGAAAAAAAATCAAGAGGTGCCTATTTTGGAGACATTGCGCACACTATAGAAACCCCATTTAGTCAAATCCTGAATACACAAGACAGGAAAAAGTACCAAAATCCCATTTCTTCAGAGGCAGAACTAAAGCATGGAGTCATTCTGAAGACGCACAGAGTAAACTGACCATCTGATGGAGCCCCCTCCATTCATAATAAAGTTAATGCTGTCACTGTAATCAACTTGTGAACACAAAAATGCTCCCCTTCGCAACATGACCCTTCCAAAGAGATGATGCAAACTAAATTTGGTAGACCTTTCATCATTCTTTCAATATACATTAGAAGGAGAGGTAGAACAGGAAGAAATTAAATATTCATGTTTACTGTCTCAATTAAATTCAGCTGCTTTTTCCTCAAGAATGTCATCTTGACAGAAGTCTGATGGCTATGTACCCTAGCCTTGAAGTCAATAACTAGCACTTTCCTGTACCACTTCAGAATAATTTCAAGGATCCCAAAAATGCTCTTCAGAACTAAGAACCCTAAAATTTTACTTATAAACCATTTAGATTAGTAGACATTTTTACAGGGATAAATATATTTTAGGAAAAATGAATGTGACTTGTACAAGAATGCTATAAATCAAATTATTTAAACAAATTATCTATATGAATAAGGTTGATTGACATTGCATTCTTACATATCCAGTAAAATACTCTCCTTAGCTCAACAGCAATAGGCAAGGTAGGAATTCAAGAACTACTCAGAATGAAATGGGAACACAAACATTACCATGTCATAGCATTATTCTGCCACACACCCAGGATTCTGTAAACCATCCAAAGTTCACAGAAAACATAGTAGAAAGTTATCTCAGAGTAACAAAAGATGTCACAAAAGTCAATACAGATGATCAATAGTTTTCATATGCTTTGGCTAAAACTCTGAGATCCGAGTGAGGGCATGAGAGAAAAGTGACAAATGGAGGTAAAGACCTAAAAAACTAATAAAAGATATGCAAAATGTGCAAAGGATATAGATATTCTCTATGTCTCAAACACAGGAATTTGGAAAATCAGCTAATATCTGAAAATTTCATTTCAGATTTTTTTGTTTCTGTGCTCTACAAACACTGTTATAACTAACTTGTGAAGCACAGTGCTAGAGGTTATTGTGGAGGGTAAAAGGCTAAACGTGCTCCAAAGATTAAACTGAACTCTGGTACAGGATGCCATTAACTCTTATTAACCATAATGAACTATTTTTTTACACCTTTGTTCTCAGGAAAACCTAAAGCCTGTTCTATGAACAGCAAAAAGTTATCAGGAGGAAAAAAACAAAACAAAACAAACAAAAAACCCCCTCACTTCACATTTACCCTGTCTTTCAAATTCTCTTCTTAATCATCCCTTGCTATTGACCACCAGGCACAGTCTAGTACATATAAGAAGCAGATATATTTCAAAACTCAAGATACACAAACAAGACATGAAAATTAAATTTAAAAAATAAGTACTGCATATATTTCATTTAATAGTTCACCTGGTTTACTCTTTTTGTGTGTTTGCAACTTCAGATAGATATCTGCACTGACAACACAACCTCTAAAAACTACCAATAACTAGCACATAGAAGAAAAGACTAAGAGGCTTTGTAATTTTCTATGATAAAACAGCCTATTTGAAAGTGCAACACACACATTATTATGGTTTTGTATTAAATGTCATTGTACATGACATTAAATGACACTGTACAAGCCATGACTGCTGTTATTTCAAACATTCATATTTGACTGGTATGTTGAAAATAAAGCCAGTTTAGACATATCAGGTGTTACTTGTCAGAGATGACATATTGCAAGATTTTTCTTGCTTAAGTTTTCCTGGATTTCACTGTTCTGGAGTTTATTTTTATATTCAGTACTTCTATTCCTCTTCTTTGTTTACATCTTGAAAACATGCAGATAGATTAATAAAAAATATATACATGAGAGGAAACAAAAAATGTATCACAGTTCTACTCCTACAGTAGTTATTAAACAAGCTATATATAATATATGTATATAATTTGAAAACCTAATCTTAAGTTATATGTCAGTATATCTAAATGCTCACCAAGTTCCTTTCCCATTCTTAAAAAGTTTATTTTACTATCCAAAACTAAGCACTGCTTCAGGTGTACTGAAGCCCTGGACACAAAATCAAGATGATGTTTCAACTGACAAAACTAATTCTGTGCAAACAGTATTTTATTAGCATTTCTCTAACACACAGCACTAGAAATATGAGTAGAAGCATTACTCACACCACAATCACTTGCTGTTGTACCAAGTTATGTGTGTTCTAATAATTTATTTCCCAGTCCTGTATTTTCTCCAACCACTAGTATGTATTCCATTATTTCATGTATTTTATTTTTCATCTGATGCTTTGCATAAATTAATTTCCCTTCCACATTTTGCACTGTAGTAACAAATTCCCCCCCATCATGTCCCAAATAATTCTTCTTTTCAAGTCCATCCTTTTCATTTAGAAAGTCTCAGTTTCCCATGCAAACTTTTCCTCAAACTTCTTTTCCCCATGCATGGAATGGGAAGTGAACTTACTCTTTGTACCCTTTACTGCCCTTGAAGTAACTATGGAAATGAACAAGTGCATTAACATCAACCTTACAAGTACACTAACTAGTTTTGCTCAAACTTTTAATATTCTCAGGTTATGCAAAAACAAGACACAACATAGGGGGAAAGTTTCAAATGTTTTCAGAAAATACCAGAATGCCAAATCTATTTGGAATTCCTAGCTCAGATATAATACATACTATCCTATAATTTTCTATGGCTGCAGAAGTATGAATCTCCACTGTTTCCAGTATCTAAGGAGCTAAAAGACAAAGAAAATGTACCAGTTATTATATGCCTCTGCTAAAAGTACTGAATTTTTTTTCTGTTATACAGTCTTATTTTCTGGAGATAAATGTTTTAGCTTATTTTTTTTCAATGGCTTTATGTGCCAATGACATTTTGAAAGAAAAAAAAACTACAAAAATTCTGCCATTTTCAAGAAAAAAATTATTTTTAAAAAGAATACCAAAAAATGACATGCTATCCCATCCTCAACTGTGACTGAAAAATCCGTGGTCACTAAACTGCTCTAGCACCTTCCTCCCTAGGATATGAACTTCAAATTTTTCCAGTATTGACCTTAAGCCAAGAACATCCTTTTTACAGTCCCTTAGAAAGTCAATTCATCTTTATTTACCAAGCACAGAAGTCTTAAAAAATATTTCCACAACATTCAAACAGAGGCAGACTTCAACAATTTGCCTTAAGAAATTTATCTTCATTTGGCCTATAGACTGACCCAATTCTTAGCATCTAGTAGGAATAGCACAGATTTTTCTGTAAATAATACTCCCCAGAGAGGCAAAAAGCAAATTTCAATACAGTAGGAGTAACAGCTGAGCTGAAAGCAAGCATCTTGGAGAGGCCAACATCGGGGGAAAGCAGTAAGAGTGAGGAATGAGAATGAGAAGTGGCAAACTAGGACTTGCTAGGTGAGAAGGATAGGTCTGAGAAGATTATGAGAGATGAGGCACCAGAAAAGCCTGTGGTGAGGCAAAACATTCAGATTTAACCCCACAAAATACAAAGACTAGTAAAAATACTCTAATTTGCTGTCCTCTTTGTTGGTGCTTTTTTTATGACAAACATTTTAATGGTGTATGAATTTAAAAACAAAATACTTGCCTTACCCTCAAGAATCCAAACCCATATTACAGCAAATACACATTGTTGAGATCTGAGTATACATCTATTTTGTTTTTGTCTTACATAGGCATGAAGACATCATCATGGCTACTGGGCGCTAAGTGCAGTAAGTTGCTAAGCACCATGCAGCCACTTACACCTCCCATACCATGGGATGGGTAAAGAGTAAAGCATAAGTAAAAAGCAAGGAAACTTCTAGGTCAAGATAAAAATTGTTTCACAAACAAATCAAAAGTGGAAGAAGAGAGAAACCAAACATGTCAATCACTCACTATCTCCTGCAGACAGATCATGGCCCAGTCAGTTCCCAAGAAAAAGCTGGATAACCTCTCTAAACTCCCCTTCTCTCCATTTTATTGCTGAGCATGCAATTTTATCTATCTAGATCTAGATATATCTATGATATTAAATATGTCTGCTGTTGGTTAGAGCCTAGTTGTATTCCCTCCCAATGACTTGTGCATCCCCTAGGCACTATAGGGGGACAGACACAGGACAGAGTGAGAAACAGAGGCAGCCTTGA